ACTAAAGGGATACATCCAACAAGAGGATATAATCCTGATAAACATATGCACCAAACACCGGAGCACCTAAGTATATATATATTAAAAAATATTGGTGGACATTAAGGGAGAGATCAACAGCAATACAGTCATAGTAGAAAATTTTAACACCCCACTAACATCAATGCATAGATCTTCCAGACAAAAAATCAACAAGGCAACAGCAACCTTAAATAACACTGGATCAGATGGATTTATTTACAGAACATTCTATTCCAAAGCAGCAGGATACACATTCTTCTCAAGGGCACATGGAACATTCTCAAAGGTAGATCACATGTTAGGACATAAAATAAGTCTTAAATTCAAGATGATTGAAATCATATCAAGCGTCTTCTCTGACTACAATGGTATGAAAATAGAAATTAATTACAATCAAAAATCTGAAAAACATTCAAACCCATGGAGGCTAAATAACATGTTATTAAATAATGAACGGGTTAACAATAAGATCAAGGAAGAAATCAAAAGTTACCTGGAAACAAATGAAAATGAATACACAACAACCCAAAATCTATGGGACACAGAGAAAGCAATCCTAAAAGGAAAATTTACAGCATTACAGAGCTATGTCCTTAAGCAAGAATAAACAATCTAACCCTACACCTAAAAGAGCTAGTAAAAGAATAACAAACAAAGCCCACAATAAGTAGAAGGAAGGAAATAATAAATATGAGAATGGAAATAAATGATATACAGGAGAAAAATACAATACAAAAAATCAATGAAACCAAGAGCTAGTTCTTTGAAAAGATCAACAAGATTGACAAACCTTTAACCAGATTCATGAAACAAAAAAGAGAGAGGAGCCAAATAAATAAAATCAGAAATGAAAGAGAAGTAATAGCAGACAACAGAGAAATACAAAGGGTTGTAAGGAAATACTATGAACAACTATATGCCAACAATTTGGACAACCTGGGTGAAATGGACAAATTCCTAGAAACATGCAGTCTTCTAAAACTGAATCAGGAAAACTCAGAAAACCTGTATAGATCAATTACAACCAATAAAATCAAAGAAGTAATTTTTTTAAAAAAAACTCCCAACAAACAAAAGTCCTGGACCAGAAGGCTTCCCAGGTGAATTTTACCAAACATTAAAAGAAGAACTAACACCTGTCTTTCTCAAACAATTCCAAAAAATTCAAGAGGAGGGAAAACTTCCAAACTCTTTTTATGAGGCCAGCATTATCCTAATTCCAAAACCAGATAAAGACACTACAAAGAACCAAAATTATAGACCAATATTCCTGATGAATAAGACACTAAAATCCTCAACAAAATATTAGCAAACCAGATCCAGCAATACATTAAAAAGATCATATACCATGATCAAGTGGAATTTATTCTGGAGATGCAAAGTTGGTAGAATATTCACAAATCCATAAATGTGATACATCATATAAACAAAATTAAGAATAAAAACCACACAATCATATATAGATGCAGAAAAATCATTTGATAAAATCCTGCACTCATTTATGATAAAAACACTCAGCAGTGTGAGAATAGAGGGATCATGCCTCGGAATAATAAAGGCGCCCTATATGACAAACCCACAGCCAGCATCATACTCAATGCGCAAAAACTAAAATGTTTGTGCTAAGATCAGGAACAAGGCAGGGATGTCCACTTTCAGCACTCTTATTCAACATAGTACAGGAGGTTCTAGCCACAGCAATCAGACAAGAAGAAATTAAAGGCATCCAAATTGGAAAAGAAGAAGCAAAAATGTCATTATTTGCAGATGACATGATACTGTACATAGAAAACCCCAAAGACTCCACCAAAAAACTACTAGAACTGATGAATGAACTCAGCAAAGTAGCAAGATACAAAATTAATATTCAGAAATTGATGGCATTTGTATACACCAATAATTTACTATAAAAAGGGAAAATAAAACAATCCCATTTACTATTGCAGCAAAAGAAAAATGTAAGGTATACCTAGGGAAAAATTTAACCAAGGAGGTAAAAGACCTGTATTTGAAAAATTATTGGATACTGAAGAAAGAAATTGGGGAAGACACAAATAAGTGGAAGTATATACCATGAATAATTAATATCATTAAAGTGTTCATACTACACAAAACAATCTATAGATTCAGCACAATTCCTATTAAAATTCCAATGGCATATTTCACATATTTAGAACAAATATTCCAAAAAATTTTATGAAACCACAAAAGACCCCAAACAGCTTCAGCAATCTTGTGAAAGAAGAACAATGTTGGAAATATCACACTACCTGATACCAACCTATACTACAAGGCCATTGTAATGAAAACTGCCTGGTACTGGAATAAAAACAGATATATAGATCAATGGAACAGAACACACAGCCCAGAAATAAACCCACTCTTTTATAGTCAATTAATATTTGACAACGGAGGCAAGAATATAAAATGCTATAAAGATAGTTTATTCAATAAATGGTGTTAGGAAAATTGGACAGATATGTGCAAAAAATGAAACTAGACCATCTTCTTATACTACACACAAAAATAAACTTAAAATGTATTAAAGACTTAAATGTTAGACTTGAAACCATAAAAATCCTAGAAGAAAGCATAGGCAGTAAAATCTCAGACATTTCTTGTAGCAATATTTTTTTTATATATATTGCCTTGGGCAAGGGAAACAAAAGAAAAACTAAGTGCGACTACATCAAAATAAACAGTTTTTTCACAGCAAAGGAAACCATCAACAAAATGATAAGACAGCCCACTGAATGGGAGAACATATTCGCCGATACAGCTGATAAGGGCTTAATATCCAAAACTTATTAGGAACTTATAAAAAATTACACCCCAAAAACCAACAATCCAATTAAGAAATGGACAAAGGTTCTGAATAGACACTTCTCCAAAGAGGACATACAGATGGCCAATGGACGTATGAAAGAATGCTTGACGTCACTAATCATCAGAGAAATGCACATTAAAACCACAATGAAATATCACCTCACCCCTGTCAGAATTACTATCATTAAATCAACAAACATCAAGTGTTGGCAAGAATGTGGAGAAAAAGGAACCCTCGTGCACTGTTGGTGGGAATGGTGCAGCCACTGTGGAAAGCAGTATGGAGTTACCTCAAAAAGTTAAAAATGAAACTGCCTTATGACTCAGCAATTCTACTTCTGGGAATATATCCAAAGAAACCTGAAACACTACTTCAAAAGAATAAATGCACCCTATGTTCATTGCAGTGTTATTTACAATAGCCAGGATTTAGAAGCAGTCCAAATCTTTATCAGTATATAAGTGGATAAAAAAGCGGTGGTACATTTACACAATGGAATACTACTCAGCCATTAAAAAGAAGGAAATCTTACCTTTTGCAACAGCATGGATGGACCTGAAGAGTGTTATGCTAAGTTAAATAAGCCAGACAGAGAAAAACAAATACCATATAATTTCACTTACATATGGAATCTAATGAACAAAATAAACGTACAGAGTAGAGACAGACTCCTGAATACAGAGAACATACTGACTGCTGTCAGAGGGATGGGGTTAGGGGTGGGTGAGAAAGGTGAAGGGATTAAGTGAAGAAAAATTAGAAAGACTCATGGACACAGATAACAGTATGGTGACTGTCAGAGGGAAGGGGGATTGGGGGAGGTAGAAAAGGGTAAAGGAGGGATAAATGGTGATGAAAGAAGACTTGACTTGGGGTGGTAAACACACAATACAATATGCAGATGATGTACTGTATAATTGTATACCTAAAAGCTATATAAATTTATTAACCAATGTCACACTGATAACTTCAGTAAAAAAGTAAGTAAATAAATAAGAATTGAAATCATACAGAGTATGTTCTCTGACCATAATGCAATCAAACTATGTATCTATAACAGAAGCAAATAGTGTCAACTACAAGTGTTTAGATCTTTTTCTGTCTTTCCAGTTCATTGTTGAGATTCCTGTTATAAAAGAGCAGAAGTTAGAATTTTCCCCTGAGCTGAAATACATTTCTGGCTGAACAAAAAGAAAGCTTACTCAGGATATTTCAGAGTATTGTTGAGAGCAAGGCTGGAAGGAGGGGGGCAGTTTAGGAAGCTATTACATCAGCCTCACCTGACATTAAAACTTGGACTGTACTGAAAAAGTAGAGCTTGCTAATTAGTAATGAAATCAATTTGGTACCTGACTATATTTGGAAGGTATGAGAGAGTTTGCTTCCTGGGTTGTGGCAGGATTATTAGATTAGAGTGGCCTGAAAGAAGGCAAAAGTCATATGCCTTCCTAGTGTATAACCCATGAGTATTCATACTTTTGTTCTTTATAAATCCTGTCTCATTTTCTAAATGGTTCCACATAGTTACTCCGTACTTCAAGATTTCTTCCTTAATTATGCCCTCTTTCAAGTGAGACTCGTATCTAGGGAGGTAGAGGAATTTTCTTTCTGGGGTTTGTGTGATTATTCTACTCAGGCAGGTTGACCCGTGGATTCCCTACCATAATGTTAGGCCAAGAGGTGGTACATGGTACGTGATCACTGGTGTGTCTTCAAATTTTTTTTCTTCTCAATTTCAAATTACAATAATAGCGGTAGCTCTCTTCAAGGAAAAATAAAGGTTGAGATTCTTTCCAGAATTATGGCAAGGGGAAACTTCATTATGAATATGGTGGGTACGAACCTCAGCCTTTACACCTTCTGGAGGATTATGGAAACAAGGCAATGAGGGATTCCCAGAAGGACCCTCAAGTAAGACAATAAGTATTCAGGCAGCCTAGTTTGCATGTAGCAGGACCTGACTGTGCAACTCTTTCAGTCTCCATGGTCTTCTTTTTCTTCTCTTACTGTAAAAGTGAAGAGTGATAGAGCTGGAATAATGGTTGAACAACCCTATTTGTAGACCTGGCATAATTGAGGTAAGCATATATAGAAGACTTTTTAGCATTTCTGTACATTTACGGACACTCACTTCTATGCATTTCCCCCACAGAACCCTCTCTGATTTCCACCCTAACAACATTAGCGTGAAATGGATTAAAGCATACCAAGATAGAACTCCTCCAGAGCGACAAATGGAGAACACACAGGATGGAACCCTAGGGGACTGGTTCAAGATCACAGTGAGTATCCTGACAAACTGTAGGGAATGTGCAGGAGAGGCAGATCAAGGGAAGTTGTGTTGATCTCATATAGAGATGCCAAGAACTTTGTTAAGGATAGGAGGAGTAAACATCTTTGATTATCCAAAGGGCAGGTTCAGAGAAGCAATAAAAGAGGAACAGACTGACTGAAGGAAGATCACAGGAGGTTGACTACAGGCAAAGGTAGAAACTACTGCCAAGGAGATGGAGTAACTACTCAACAGACGTCTCAGTTTGGCTCAAGCTGATTGGGGGTGGGGTGGGTATATTCTCTGAAGTTTTTATCAGAGGGACAGACAGGTAGGGTCTTCAATAGGTAGGATCTTCCCTGGAACCTTATTAAAGGAAGATCATTTTAAGCATCTAAATTTGATTATTTAGGAAGTAAATATCAGAATAGAGTAAAAGGACAATTAGAAAATCCATATCTGGCCAAAAAATAAAATGTTGAAATCATGTCAGTGGTCCCTACTTTAAAGTCTTTTAAAGTTTGGTGGGAGGTCAGAATAAAACACTGTGTTGGGCTGTTCTCCACACTTGTTTCCATGTTGTCTCTCCTCTTTCCCACCCCTTCCCTTCTTCTCATTCTTAGGTCCCTTATGGGATAAAGTATGACAAGACATGGCTAATGAATTCAATCCAGAGTCATTGCAGTGTCCCCTTCACTCCAGTGGACGTAAGAGGGATCGTGAAGCCAGATGAGGGGGCACAGGGAAGGGGGAGAGACCTGGCTCAGCTTGGGCCATTGGCCTCTGACACTATTTTTTTTTTGCCTTCAATCCCTGTAGTTTCACTATGTTAAACACTTGGCCCAGTTCTTTGTCCAGGATGCTAGTGCTGCCTCTGCATTGAAGGATGTCAGCTACAAGATTTGTGATGAGCAGAACCAAAAGGTGTGTGTTGAGGATATTTTCTGTACTTAGTCCCAAAGCAGGAGGACAGGCCACAGGCTACTAACCTTTCATGTTAGAGTTCTTGGTGCTTATCCCACCTCTTCTTCCTGCAGATACCTATCTTTGTCAATACTTCTGCTGTACCCTACTCTGTGTGCAATAAATTGGAGCCAGAAAAAATGGAGCAGCTAAAGGTAATGCAGACACAAGGCATGTTGTGTGCCCACACTCAGACCCACCTCTTCCTCCATCAGTCCCCGATTCCCCTATCACCACAACAACCTCAGAGTGTCTCTCTTCATCTCCCTCTGCAGCTGACCATAAGCAAACGATATGATGTCTCCCAGAAAGCTCTTGACCTTCATAAGATTCGCTTTGACCCAGGTACAGCTGATAGTAGTAATTCTAGGGCAGGTGAGGGCAGAGGATTCTGCCTGGGAGGGAGACTAAGGGATGGTAATGAGGGAGGTCCTGGTCCTGGAACCCTCTCAACCTTCTGATTTCCTATTCTCGGCTCCCTGAAGACTTACTGGGCCATGGTATTATTATAGTCCTTAATCGAAGAAACTGCATGACTGCCATCCTGGAGATCATCAAAAAGAATTTCCCTGAGGTGAGGCCTTAGGCTCAGTGCTGGTGTTATGGTAGGGGGTGGAAGGAACAGATGGGATGGAGGGCAGATTTGTCTCCAAGGTCCTAGATAGTAACTATCACTCTTAACTCTTCTTTCCCAAAGCTTTTATCCTTGAACTTGTGCAAGAACAAACTGTACAAGCTGGATTGCGTGTCTGAAATTACACAGGTGGCCCCCAGAGTCAACATCCTGAACCTCTCCAAAAATGAGGTGAGAACAGGGAGCCAGATCAAAGTTGGATTGAGGGTGGGTGGCAGTGGTTATCAGAATGATGACAGGAGGGATGAAAAAGTACCTGTGGGGGAAGAAAAGGGCTGTGGGTGCAGGAGCCCAGATGTACCTCTTTTTCTGGTATTCATTTTCCATTTTTCCCCATATTTCTCAGCTAAAGTCAGCCTGTGAGTTGGACAAGATAAAAGGGCTGAAGCTTGAAGAACTGTGGCTGAAAGGGAACCCCTTGTGTGACACCTTCCCAGACCAGCCCACTTACATAAGGTTGGTGGTCATCACTGTCACCCTTTCTGTGAGAGAGACTTCCTTTGCCCCCTAAGAGTCAAATTACCCCTGACAGTACCCCTCTGCAGGACATGAAACCTCTAGTCCTCTAGGAGTACTACAGGCCCTGCTTTCTTCTTTCTGATTGTATGTGTCTCTCACCTGAGCTTAGAAGTCTCCTTTCTTTCCTCTGACCTGATCACTTGGTCTGGGGTTGGTTTCCACCTCTCTGCACCCACTGTTCTCTAGCATGCCCTCCCAAGAGTGTGCTTCAGGAGGCAGGACTCTTCCCTCATCACAAGAACCAGGAGGGTCCAGCCTTGAGACAGATGCTGGTGCCCTGCACTGAGAAGGATCTTCCAGCCTAAGGCCTCATGCTCAGACAGGGCTTCTTGTCTCTGAGATGATATAGAGTATCCCTGTCCTATTCTGGGAGGAACCTTCTTTCCTTTCCTTCAAAAGGGTCTCCTCTACAATCCCACAGTGACATGAGGACTGTCCCTCTGTATGCTGATGGCTGAGGCCTTGGGGGGGCTGCTATCAGTACATTCGTTCCTCTGGCCCAGTGCCAGAAGCTCGGCTGTCCTTGGGAGAATCCAGGGTTCCCTAGTCGAGGGGCCAGAAGTGAGCCACCGCCACTGAGCAGAGGGCAGCAGTGGAAGGCAGAGGGAAGAGGGGTTTGAGGAGACAGGAGGACAGTCCTCTCAGGGGCACTGCCCCTTTCTTCACACATCACATCACCTGCCTGGTCCTTCAGAGGAGCCCTGGGTGGCCTGAAACAGGTAGGATTCCTCGTGCAAGGAACCAACTAAGAAAGGCACAGGTGCACAGGGGCCATGAGGAGAGAACGTGGTGATCATAAGATCCCCCCATCCCAAGCTCAGCTGGGGCCTGACCCCTTACTTCTCTGGGGAAAGTCTCCTGATCCCGTGGCTGGTGTGTTTCCCACGCCCAGTTGAGACTGAGTCTCACAGGTGACAAAGGTTCAGCCAACATCCCATGGCCCTGAGGCCAACGGATGCACGTTTTCCATTCCAACCTGGGGTCCCAGGGCCAGCCAGGGGCAGATGAAGGAAAGGGCTGCTGCAGAGGAGCCCTTTCTTCTCTCTTCTTATCTGATCCTCACCCCCAAGATGGAGTTTCTCTCGCTTCCCTTTGCTTCTCTTTCTCCTTCATCTCTACTCTTCTATGTCTTCCTAATCTCCTCCCCTATCTTCACTCTCTTTCTGTCTTCATCCCTCTCCCTTTCCCTTCCTGTCTCTTAACCCCTTCCTCACTCACCTCCCTGCCCCAGTGTCCCAAACCATCCCTGGGGCATGTCCTGTTCCTAACAGGATGCTGGACCCCCAGTGAGGTAGCAGAGCCCTGGGCGTCCACCTTATTCCCTCTTCTTTCTGGAGCCATCCGTGGGGACCTGGAGGAAGGAAGGGAGACAGGGAGGGGGAAGAAACCCTGCAGTCTGAGATCCATATGTTGTGTCTTGTGGCTCTGGAGAAGGAGTCAGGGCCCTCTAGGTGGGAGCTAACCAGGAGGAGGGAGAGAGAGTGGCAGGGGAGGGAAACGGTGAGGCACAGAGGAAGGAATGGAAATAATATGAATGTGGAGGTGTGGAGAAAGGTGAGATTGTACGTTTCAGAGATTCCATTTGGCAGATGGTCAGTGCTCAGCAGGGGAGTGGACCCAGAAGCCTTGAAATCAGAGGCTGAGAAAGCGAAAGGGGGCTGCTGGGTGGGCAGAACACCTGTCTCTGTTCAGGCCTTCAGTGTTTTAAGTAAATGGAAGCATCACAACTGAAACTATCAACCACTTCTTTCTATTTTTGGATTTGGACAGTGTCATCAGGAAATGTTTCCCCAACTTGTTACGCTTGGTAAGTGCCTACCTTCATCATCATCTCTTACTAACATTGACAACCAATGCATCTGCCCTCAAGCCCTTTGTGTCTTGCCAAGATGACATGTTTGCATCAGAGCCTTATCCATTTGGGGGGGCATGGACTCCTGAAAAAGACATGAATATAATCTCTGTGAAAATGTACAGAGAGAGAGAGAGACAGGGAAAGCGGGAATGAGGGAGGGAGGCAGGGAGGGAGAGAGAAATAGATGATAGATAGATGATGGATGGATGGATAGATAGATGGATGGATGGATGGATGGATAGATAGATAGATAGATAGATAGATAGATAGATAGATAGATAGATAGATAGATAGATAGATAGATAGATGATAGATAGATAGATAGATAGATAGATGGATAGATGATAGATAGATGATAGATAGATGATAGATTGATAGATTGATAGATGATAGGTAAACAGACACACACACAAGTTGCATAAAACAGTAGAGACTTCCAGGGCCATATGATGCAGACACCCATTAGAATCTTGCCCATGGAATTTCAAGGGTCCTTTCAGTCCTGGCCTCTGACCTTCACCGTCTCCTGGTTCCATCCTTTCCCCTAATCACCCAGGACCACCTCCCTGGACTATGCTGCTAACTTACTCCTTCCTTCTCCAGGATGGCGAGGATTTACCCCCACCAACTGTAATTGACATTGTAGACATGGACATAATAAAACCCTGTAAGGTAAGAACAGACCGAGCAAGATTGGGGTGTTGCAAGGGATGCTTTGTCTCCTACATAGTTTGAAGTTGTCTTTTGATTCCAGGAAAGCTATAAAGGACCTGAGACCCTGAAGAATCTAGTCTCTCAATTCCTGCTTCAGTAAGTACCCCTGGGATCATAAATCAAAGGAGGACTGGGACAGGAGAGGCACAGGTCTACTCATGGGTTGAGAGGAGCTTTCAAGGTCCCTTGGGGGCAAGCCCAAATCAGAGAGATAACCTGTCCTCCCCTCCCCCCCCCACAGGTATTACTTGATTTATGATTCTGAAGACCGACGAAGTCTCCTCAGTGCTTACCATGAGGAGGCCTGCTTCTCCCTGACTGTTCTCTTCAACTCTGAAGACCCAGCTTTGTGAGTATCAGAGCTCAAACTCTGGTCCTGGGCCATGTTGCTCCCCAGCAGACAGAGGCCAGCTCTTGGAAACACCTACCCTGCCTGGACCACCACTTCCTGTTTCTCTTTATTTCCTAGAAGCAGCTTGTGTGAGTACTTAAAGGATAACAGGAATATGAAAAAAGTCAAGGATCCTGGTAATTGCGTGATATGAGATCGGCATGGGAAAGGGGTGTGAAGGGGTCAATCATAGTGGACAAGGGCCCAGCCTTCCTCCTTCTCCCTCCACAGACCTGCGGGTTCAGCTACTGAAGCGTACAAATCATGACATTGTGAGCACCCTCTGCGTGTTGCCCAAAACTCAGCATGACCTTAACTCCTATGTGATAGATCTGTGCGTCCACACGGTGAGCACCTGTTTCCTCTCTCCCACAGACCAAGAAAGTCAGACATGGGTAGGAGGTTTAGAAGGATACTGACAGCCCTAATAATCATTCTCTCCTTTCAGGAAATGATGCTCTGTTTTTCTGTCAGTGGAGTTTTCAAGGAAGGTGAGTGTATGCAGAGTTCCCTCACCAGATCCTCCACTATTCCCTTTCCCCTAATGGACTTACTCCCAAACTTTCCCCCACTTCCCAGGTTGCTTCCTTTTCTCTTTTCTGTTCTTTTCTTCTTCTCTTTTCTTTTTTCTCTTCTTTTTTATTTCTTTTGTTTCCTTCTTTCCTTCCCCCTCCCTCCCCTTCCCTTCCTCTCACACCCCCCTTGCCCTCAACCTATTGTGTTCTGATATACATCCATGCCTTTCTACCTCAACACAGCTCATGTGTCAGAAACACACCCTGAAGCTTTCATCTCAGTTCCCTACTCTGTGACTTTGGGCCCAATATCTAACCATTCAGTTTCCTCACTTGCAAAATGGGCTGGTAATACCATTCTCTAGGGATGCTTTAAAAAAGTGAATGAAATGACCAAGTGTTTGTCAGAGGATCTGACACATGTTAAGGGTCCTATTACTGGGAGTTGATTATCCCTATTGTTGCCCTCTCAGTCCTTGAAATGCCCTCCTGAGTCATAGTGAGAAATTGTCCTTGTTTGGATCACATAAGGGTGCTGCAAGAGTGTCAGGTTAAGACCCCGACTGGGGAATGCTGCGTGTGTGAAAAGTATGTACAACTCTTAAGGGTGGTTGCTTTTTGTTGTCATTGAAGTGGAAGGAAACTCTCAAGGGCCTGTCTATGCCTTCACCCGGACCTTCATCTTGTCTTCTGGCAGCGATTCCAGGTAAGTGCTGTATTGTGGGTGCAGCATGAGCATGAACACCCGTCCCAGCCGAATTCCAGTGGTGTGGTAATGTGGTGGTACAGCCTGGAGCTTTCCTCAGTATTGTGGAAAGCCAACAAGGAGAGCTCTAGGTTAGTGGTTAAGGCTGTGGGCTCTGGAATCAGAATACCAGATTCTTTTCCTGATCTCAACACTCACTACCTAGCTAAGTGATCTTGGTGAAGTTATAAGACCTTAGTGACTCATTGTCCCCTTTGGAAAATGGAGATTATCCGTCTTCTGGGCTGTTGTAAAGGGTAAATGCATTCTTATCAAATCTAAAAATTGAGTGAAGCTAGTAGACAATCTCTTCAAAGGTGAGCTCAATGGGAGAGGCAGAGGTACCAAGCAAGGAATCTGGGGGGCAGGCACAGTTGGGGTATGGAAGGAAACTGGTTTCTGAGTGGCAGTGGAGGCAGGATCATTTTTGGGAGTCTGAAGGCCCATCTTTCTTCCAGTCTGTGCATCGTGAATGATATATTGACTGTGGGGAATGCCGGCACAAAAGAAATCCAGACTGCGTTCTCCATTCCAGTACCTACGCCCACCTTTGGCTCCCTGCCCACCCTCTCCACAGAGCAGCAGGAAATGGTGCAGGCTTTCTCCACCCAGTCTGGGATAAGCCTCCAGTGGTCTCAGAAGTGAGTGCTGGGAATCTATGGGAATAAGAATGAGCTAAGAGGGCAAAGGAGTGCATAATGGGAACTTGCAGTTAATTTATAAAAATAATTATTTAGATGTTGTGCTTCCAAAAAAAAGTGAGCTCATAACATATGTATATTAATTTTATTCTGATATATGTTAATAATTTTAAAACAATATATTGTTCAGATGACATGAACTTGCATATATATAATCCTAAGAAAATCATTAAAAATGTTATAATTAACAAACAAGTTCAGCATGATTGCAGGATAGAAGATCTATACACAAAAATCAATTGTATTTCTATACACTAGTAATGAACAATCAGAAAATGAAATTAAGAAAACAGTTTCATTTACAATAACATAAAAAATAACATACTGAGGAACAAATTTAACAAAAAATGCAAAATGTGTACTCCAAAATCTGCAAAACATTGTTGAAGTAAATTTAAAAAGACCTAAATAAGTAGAAAGATATCTCATGTTTGTGGATCAGAAGAATTAATATTGTTAAGATGGCAATACTCCCCAAATTTATATACAGATTCAATGCAATTATATCAAAATCCCAGCTGGTTTCTTTGTAGAAACTGACAAGTTAACCCTAAAATTCATAGGAAAATGCAGTGGACCCAGAATAGACAAAATAATCTTCAGAAAAAACAAAGTTAGAGGACTCACACTTCCCTATTTCAAAACTTAGTACAAAGCTATGGTAATCAATACCATGTGTTACTGGCTTAAGGATAGACATATAGATCAATGGAATAGAATTAGAATCTACACACACACACACCCCTCACCTTTGTGGACAACTGATTTTCAACCAGAGTGGAAAAATATTCAGTGAGTAAAGAATATAGTCTTTTCAGCAACTGATTTAAGGACAACTGGATATTCACTCACAAAAGTATTAATTTGTACCTCTATCTCACACCATATAAAAATATAAATCAAAAGTTATTGCTAACACTATAAAAATCTTAGAAGAAAATATTGGGGTAAGTTCTTTGTGACCTTGAATCAGGCAACAGTTTCTGACATATGATGCCAAAGGCACAAACAAAAAATAAAAGTTAAATCAATTGAACTTCATCAAAACATAAAACGTTTTGCATCAAAAGACACTAAAAATAAAATGACAGCCCAAAAAATCAGAGAAAATATTTGCAAATCATATACTTGATAAGGTTTCTGTATCCAGAATATATTAAAAAAACTCTTAGAATTCAAAAATGAAAAAGCAAGTAACTTAGTTAAAATGAACAGATATATCAATAGACATTTATCAAAAAAAACAAACAAAAAAAAACGACCAAAAGGCACACGAACAGATACTCAACATCATTAGTCATTTGCAAAATACAAAATAAAAATAGATTTAGATACTATTTCACACACACTAGAATGGCTATAAGTGTTGGCAAAGATGTGGAGGAACTGGAACCCTCATATGCCGCTGGTGGGAATGGAAGATGTAGCCACTAAGGAAAACAGTTTGGCAATTCCTCAAAATGTTAAACATGCATGTACCATATCTACTCCTGGATATATATCAAGATAGTTGAAAACAAATGTTCACACAAAAAATTGTGTGCAAATATTCACAGCAGCATTATTCTTAATAGGCAAAAAGTGGAAACAACCTAAATGTCCATCAATTTATTAAAGGATAAATAAAAGGTGGTATATCTATACAATGGATTATTATTCAACAATAAAATAGAATGAAGTTCTGTTACCTGTTATAACATGGATGAACCTTGATACTGTTATATTAAGTGAAAGAGGCAGACACAAAAGACTTACTATATAAGTCCATTTACATGAAATGCCCAAATGGGCAAATTCATATAATCAGGTAGCAGATTAATGGTCACTAGGGTCTGGGGAAAGGAGGGACTAGGGAGTGACTGCTAATGGGTAAGGAGTTTTATTTACAGTGATAAAAATACCTTGGTGGTTGATTGCAGAATTTTGATGATTGCAAAATCTTGTGAATACTCTAGAAAATCACTGAATTGTGGTTGTTTCACCTTAAAAGGATGAACACTACAATATGTACATTATAAACCAATTTAAAAGTGATTGGAAAGTTGTATTTTAAAATTTACACCTTTTATTTTCTTGAGCATCTTTATCAATATATATTAAGCTCCCTTGTTCTTTTGAACATCTCTATTCCGTTTTGAATTCTAGTGGCCATGAATGCTAGTGACAAGACATTTTGGTTTTCACTAGGTCTTTCTTCCTCATTACACATAGTGCTTATTCTGGTACATGTGTCCCAGCATAGATTCAGTGTCATAGATTTTGTGGTGGCATTGCATGGTCTGCGTGTCTGTACTGTGGTACTAATGGAGGTCACCTGTTCTTCTCCCACGCCAGGTGCCTTCAGGACAATGAGTGGAACTACACCAGAGCTGCTCAGGTCTTCACTGCGCTCAAGGTGAGGTCTGGGTGTCAAGTGGGTTAAAGATAGATGTTTCTGGGCCTTCAGGAAGGCCAAGAAGGTGGAAGCTGGTGCCCTGGAATGAAACTCAGGGAGCTGGCTCTTCTGACACCCCAACTCTTCCTCTCTAGACCGAGGGCAAGATCCCAGAGGAAGCCTTCAAAGAAATTCCTTAAAAAGAGCCTTTGGCTGTCATCTTTGTCTTCATCACCATCATTTCTCTTTTCTCCTGCCTAAGGCCATAATCCATGACTGGAGCTGGAGGCCTGGCTGACCAAGAAGCCACAGTTGCCTAACTACCTGTCATTTGTTCTGTTTATTTGCCCCATTCACGATCACTGTTGTTGTTATTACTTTGGGGTTTTTTTTCATAATAAAGAGTGATGTTATACATTATATGCCGTGTGTTTTGGATCACTTTTCCCCTACCCAACCATGAGCCAATGGGTTGAGGACTGAAAGGTCCTTCCCTACCCCCTTACCCCCTGCCACCAATTCTGCCATTCACCCTGGCAGTCCCTAGCAGTTACATCAGATGTGACTCCATGGGTAGTTTGTCAATAAATTCTGGTAAGAAGAGACACATGCTGTTTTCAGAGTTGTCCTTTGGAGACAGTATAACTTGGTCATATGCTCTACCTAGTGGCCCACTAAAGCAGGCATGGGTCCTGGCACAAAGGAACTTTGCAAGAAATGCCTAATACAACATGTATGAACCCTAAAAGCATGATGCTAAGTGAAGGAAGGAAGTCACAAAGGACCACATAATGTATGAGTCTACTTATATGAAACATTCAGAGTATGAAAATCCATAGATATACAAAGTACATTAGTGTTTGCCAGGGTCAGGAGCAAAGGGGAAATGACTGCTTAATGGATATAGGGTCTCCTTTTAGAGTGATGAAAATGTTCTCTAAATAGATCATGATAATGGTTGTACAAAATTTGATTGTACTAAATGCCACTGAATTGTTCACTTTACAATGGTTAAAAGGTTAAGTTTATGTTAGGTGACTTTTTCCACAATAAAAAAAAACCACCACACTAAGATGTGGATGAACCCTGAAAATAATTTACTAAGTGAAAGAAGCCATTTATATGAAATATCCAGAATAGGTAAACCACAGTGACAGAAAGCAGATTTGTGGTCGCCAGGGCCTGGGTAGAGAGAACGAGAGCAAGTGCTAAATAGTATGGGGTTTGTAAATAATTTGTGAAACTAGATGATGGTTATACAACATTGTGAACATACTTAATGCCACTGCATTGTACATGTCAAAATGGTAAATTTTATACTGTCTATATTTTACCATAATCTTTTAAAATCCACAGTGGAGTTCTTTTAAAAATGATACTGAATTTTTCATGAATATAATATACTTACTGTAGAAGTGAGGAAAATACAGAAGACTATAAAACTAAAGGGAAAAACCCCCTCACAATCCAAATCATGAGCACAATTTTCACTGCTCATTTTTGCTTTTCTTTACACATACTCTACCTTTATATAACTTACCATCTGGATAACATTGTTTTAGAGAATATTTTTTCACTTGGCATCATTTCTTTGGAATTTTCCCTGTATCACTAAGATCTTCCAAAACATTTTTAAAGCAAATTGCAAAATACTACAAATAAACAAATAGAAAAATAGTGGAGGCCTCCATGGCAGCTCCCTCCCACTTTCTTCCCCTCTGTGGCCCCCTGAACAGTGAAAGAACTTGGGAGGGTCACCCCAGAACCTCTAGGGAGGTCTGGCTTTAAATTGCCTTTCCTCTCTCAGCCTGTTTTCCTGACACTTCCTCTACCGGACCTGACGTTTTGTGCAGGAGATATGGTGGGTCAGGCCTAGAAGGGGCTCACAATGGGATAATGGGATAATTGGGCATTTAATCCGTTCTCACATTAGTAGCTGCTTACCTCTGTTCTACCTCATTCCCCATTGTAGGTGACAAGCAACCTGTGACATCTGGGGGTGTGGGGGTGGTTTACTGGCACAAAGATATTTGAGTATTAATCCTCCTCCGTGAGTACAAAATTGTTTTCCTCATGCCCTCTCAAGCTCCTACATATTTAGGTGTGGAAAATATCGTAGGCATCAGGAGGGGAGGCAGAGCATAAGAATGGGCCACTGACACACAAGGGTAGTTTGATATTCATATGCTTCTCTCCTCCGTTTGTTTTCCCTGTATGCTTATCACACCTTTACCTTTACTATTTCCGTGCAAGAAATTTGGTAAGCAAGAAGGCTGAGGGATTTAGGAGAGGAACAAGAAAAGACCAAGGTGTCTGATATTGATCAAAACAGACCAGAGCAGCTTTCCAGCCGCCCCGCCCCATTTCATGTAGGAAATTGAGTCCCTGGAAGGATCTCTCTCATAGAACGGACACATAGATTTTGAAATAGGTTAGAATTTCTCCTCCTCTCTCAGTCTCGAGCCTCTCTCCCAACCTTACCTCGGCCCCCTCCTCCAACCTGCCCATTTCGGTGGGCCTAAGGACTTGGCGACGTGAACCTGTAACTACGACACTTTCGCGACGTGAAGGTGTAAATACGGCACGTTGGTATCCGTCCGCCTCGTCCAGCCGGAGCTGATTCACTGACGTCACCGCCTGAAACTCGGAAACATTACAGGGCGCAAAAAATGTAGACTTGCTGTGGGGAGCTCCTAAAAGACGGGAACCAATAACTAGACCCTTTAATATAAGCCAGCTTCTCTCCGTCCAGCGCTGCTTTCTCTATATCCAGCTTCCGCCGCTGCCTATCCCAGTACCAGAAGCAGCCGTGGTAGGCGGGGCGGAAGTCACTGACGCGGAGAGAGTGGCGTCTGCTGAGCCGGTATCAGTCCGCTTCCATCAGGCCGGATCCCCAAAACTACACTAGCTACTCTCGTAGTTGGTTTTGGTATTGGGGACGTGGCGAGGCAGCCTGCAGAGGAAAAGGTAGCTGTTAATTTAATCACTAGGAGCGGGTCTCTGAGGAGCCCTGGGGATGGGAAGGAAAAGGGAACACCCCAAAGTGACTGTTGTTTGGCAGTTACGGCCCCTAATCTGATAAAGCAGGTATCTCGTCCCAGCTGCGGGGCCAATCTCCAAACACGGCCGCCGCCATTGTCTCGTGTCCCTGTTTCCATCTGACTGTCGGTCCCTCTTTCTGTAGGGCACGGCACCCCTTGAGGCAAGGAAATGAGAGAACTGCCCCTGATCCAAGCAGAGCAGGTCAGTAAGAAGGCGGGCATGGTTTGGGAGTGTGGATATGGGTATCAGAGATGAATGTGGGATACGGGACCTGGTCATGAGGCGCGAGCTGTGAGAGAGAGGGACGGAGGTAATTTGAGTGGCACACAACGATAAAGTTTAAATGATCTGTCTTGCTAGTTTAATTTCCAGACCCTCACCCAACCTCCGACCGTGTTTGGGAAGGGAAAGGAGTATAATAGCAGCTTCTAACAGAGAAATGGCGGATTATATAATAGGAGGAAGGGCTGCTGCTATTGGTAAGAACAGTTGCCTGGGTAGCCCTGGAAGGGAGAGCGTGTAAATACAGGTTGTAAGTGTTTGATAATCAAGGCCTTGAATTAGAAAAGGGTCTCATGTCCTGCTTACTAGTCTGACCAGTTATAACCAAGTCTCTCCCACTGTCGTTTCTTTTGGTCTTTGGATGTGTATTACGCATTTATCTGTTCCTAAGTTTGCGGCACTTCATGCTTCTGTAAGGATCGCTAGGGGGCAGAGGACCTCAAAGGGACCGGGAAAGAAAAAGAAAATTAGCCTAATTTTTGTTGAGCAGGTAGGGGTCTAGGGGAAACTCCAGATCTCCTTTCTGCTTACTTTCCGAACAGTCCTTTTTACTCTCGATGTGGTGCAGAAAACAATAGGTTTTAGGAAGAGTAAGGAAACATAAGAACTTAGATGAAATTTGGAAATAATACTTTTCATTGATTTCCCATCTAACTTCCATGGTTGAGCATTCCATCCTTATTGAAACCACCGCTATCATGCAGGGATGTTTGAGTTGTCAGATTTGGGGAATGGAGCAGAGGAGATTGGAGGAAGAAAGAGAGGTAGAAAATTTTGGCGAACAGGTACCTGTATCGAGGGATCGGTGTGTTAGGAGCTGCTCTCTACCAAGGACTCATTCTCCGTTGTCTCCTGTACCTCTATCTGTTTATCTCTGCATTTGTAAATATCTGTGTGTTCTCTAAGTCTCTAGAACTCTCAGTTGTTGTGAGGTTTATAAATGTTAACCCAACGTGAAGCTAGGAAATGATGAAGAGAAAAGTGCCCTGTGTCTGTTAAGATTGGAATGATGGTAGAAGAACTAGAGAATTATATCCCTTATGTTTTGTCAGTTTACTAACCCCTGTTGGATCCAGGGTTTAATAAACTGATTTAGTTGGAAGTCTTCATAAGCATTGGGGTTAGAGAAGGGTAAGATCTTCTTTTCTAATTTCCCATGTGATTTTCCTATCCTTATGCTTCACCCTAGCCCAATTTTGAACAAGGGAAATGCCAGGGCAGTGACTAAAGAAGAAAATGGTAAGCAGCAGGGAGGAGGAGGAGCAGCCCTAAAACAGGGCAATGGGGAGAAGGGACCAGAAGGAGAAAACACTAGAAAAATGCAAATATAGAGAACAGGGACCAAGCCCTGTCTACCAAGAGATCAGTTTCTATAGCCTCCTGTTTGCTTATCTCTCCATAGATCTTCTGTAGGGCTTATTATCATTGGAGGCAAGGAAAGGAAGAGAAATTACTTCAGATCAGTGCAGGTTGGTATGGATGTGGATTGAGACTTCCTCAGTAGTCATGTAGGATGAGGTAGTGGACATCAGCAGGGGTAAAGAGCCAGTCTAGGGATTCCTCAGTCTCACTCCCATCCAGCTTTCCCACTCTCCAAACTCCTATTTTGTGTCTGGAAAGAAGATTAGTAGTACTTGCAGTTGAAGAGAATGTGAATTTAAGGGGGAGATTCATTATTACGTAACTCTCCCACTTAGCACTGAGTTTCCATACTCTCCTATCTCCCTGTGCTAATTAAAATGAGGGGAAAAAATAGAAGATACTCAAAGCCCCATTTCCTTCCTCCACCCCTAGGTCCAACTTCAGTGACAGATCTGGTGGCCTTGGAGTGGCTGAAGACCACCACCCTCCACAGGGCTGCGCTCAGGCACACAGCCATTCTTCTGAGTGAGGTTTCTCTGCACATTGTTTATATCACTGGCAGAGCATATAGTTGGAAAGGGGGCTGAGTGACTACTGGACATTGTATGAAAACACCAACCTGGGACAGACCTTCAGCCAAGGCTGTGACAGGGGTGGGAGTGTATAAATTGGCCTTGACTTTAATTTGCACCATGACTGGCTCTGAGGCCAAGGCAAGGGCAGAGGAGAGGCTGGGGTTGGCCTGAAAACTATAATCAGTGGCCCTGCCAACACTATAGCCAAGGCTATCCAGGCCAAGGCAGTGGCTGGGGCAGAACCGAAAACAGGACCAGTTACCCAGGCCAAGACTGGGGATGGAGCCAGGACACAGACAGTGACCTACACTGAGGCCGTGGCTATGGCAAAGGAAGTAAGCAAGATGGAAGCCAAGATTAAAACTAGAGTCATGGCTGAAACCAAGGCAAAACCCTTGGCAGAACCTGGTATAGTGCCCCCAAACAATTCAAAAGCCATGCCTACGTCTAGGGTCAGTGCTGTGCACAAGTATGAAGTCAAGGCTGATGCTGGAAGTGAAGCCAGTGTCAGGTTCTTTTCCAGGGCTGATAATAAGGCCAATATTGGATCCAGGCCCCCAAGAAGGAGAGAGGCCAGCATCAAGTTCAGGGTTGGGGACAGAGCTGGTAGTATAATCGAGCCCAATGATGAGGATGAAGAAAATATCTGTTCCTGGTTCTGGACTGGAGAAGAGCCTAGTTTAGGATCCTGGTTCTGGCCTGAAGAAGAAACCCCTTACCAAGTTTATAAGCCTCCACCTAAGATCCAGGAAAAGCCCAAACCCATGCCCATATCCAAACATGCACTTACTATAAAGCAAAGAGCAGCAGCATGGTCAAGAGCCAGGTACTGTGTCCTAGTCCCAGTGGAGGGAGGGGAGCTATCCTTGCCTCCAGAAGGGAATTGGACTCTGGTTGAGACCTTGATTGAAACTCCTCTGGGTATTCGGCCTCTGACCAAGATCCCACCCTTTAATGATGGGCCTTACTTCCAGACCTTAGCTGAGATCAAAGAACAGATTAGGTATAGGGAAAAGTATGGGCCGAATCCAAAAACTTGCCGCTGCAAATCACGTGTTTTCAGTTTAGAGCCTAAAGAGTTCGATAAACTCGTTGCCCTACTTAAGTTAACTAAGGATCCTTTCATTCATGGAATAGCAAAGATGATAATGGGCATCAGTCCTGCTTATCCATTTACCCAAGATATAGTTCATGATGTAGGTATTACTGTTATGATTGAAAACTTAGTCAATAATCCCAATGTTAAAGAACACCCTAGAGTTGTAAATAAGGTGGTTGACAACTCTGAGTCTTCTGAAGAACAAAAAACAGGAGAGACATATATAGATGAAGTTTGTAAGGACATAATGTCTTATCCTTTGAACTCCCCTGTGCAACTTTCAGGACTAAAATTATTGGAGCACTTGAGTGTGAAATTTGAGAATCACCACATGATTGCCAGTTATATTCCAGATTTCCTCACCTTGTTAAACATGGGAAGTGTCAAAACCAAGTTTTATGTTTTAAAAGTGTTTTTGCGCTTGTCTAAAAATCAAGCCAATACAAGAGAACTGATCAGTGCCAAAGTACTGTCATCATTGGTTGCACCCTTTAACAAGAATGAGTCAAAGGCCAATATTCTTAATATCATTGACATTTTTGAGAATATAAATTTCCAATTCAAAAAGAAGGCGAAGCTATTTACCAAGGAAGAGTTCACTAAATCTGAACTTATTTCCATATTCCAGGAAGCAAAAGAGTTTGGTCAGAAACTCCAAGACTTAGCAGAGCACAGTGATCCTGAGGTGAGAGATAAAGTTATACGATTAATACTCAAACTCTGAATAGCCGAATGTTCTCACAAAGCCTTGAACAATTTTTGGTGTCATAATATGAAACTAATGCACATTATAAGTTCAGTATTTATGTTATCCGTGTTGACTGAAGGAGGCAATTTTATGGGTACCAAATGATGTTGAGAACTTAAATATTTGTTGATTTTTATCATGCTATCTAAATTGATAATTTTCATTATTTTTGTAACATGACCTGATAATGAAACTGTCTTGAGTAAGTTATACTTCTGTGCTTTATATTGACATAAGTGTATTCATTTGAGACTTCTTCATTTACATAATAAAGTTGCATGCTAAAACTGGTGAAAACATTGTCCTAGTTCTTCAGTTGAAGTCTAGTCAGGGATAATGCACAACCAGTACAAAGATATTAAAAACCGTTGTCTGGGGGATACAAACAAAACAATTGACACATTGACAGACCCTTTAGTTTCATGTTCACCAAATTCTCTGTACACAAGAAGACATAGCTGTGCTACTAGCTCACATCTGGACCAATCAGAGGAATGGGGTGAAGACACAGACTTAGGAAAAAGGGAACACAGATGGTTTCATTCCAGTCTGAGGCCCAGAACTTGTGCTCAGCCTTTCACATAGGCTATCTCATCAGAATATCTTAAACTTTTTAACCCTCAAGATGATTCCTGGTTCTCAACCTCATTCAGCAAGCCATGGAAGTGTGGTTGTGCTACTACAGCCCCACCATGCCCTCAACACCCAGGTAAACCATCTAACCCAGGTGCCACGTTTACTGCTTCATTTGAGACTCCTTCCCCCTGTGGTCCTGGGCCTCAGAGGAGGGTCTTTCTGGGCACCAACTACAGAAACTGCTTCATGGATAGTCTCATTTGTCCTGCCTTGGTGACTCATCCTTGCTTTTGTTTGCTGGCCAATCCTTTGGACTTATTTGCACCTTTCCTTGGTGGCAGCCCCGTTTTACTGATCCCTTTTGGTCAGAGCTCAGCTTTGGGAGATAGTCACAGGATACCAGAGTCCTTTAGGAGTGTGTGGTTAGGAAGAAATTAATTCCCCTAATCTCACTATCCTATCTGTTCATGTGTACAGTTTACAGAGCTGAAGCTGTGTTGTCTATACTATCTCAGTTCCTCCTGTTTAGACTTGTTAGGTTCTGGCTTAGGGGTTGTGGCATATAGAATACCAGAGTATAGATTGGGATCTGCCTTTTCTAACCTTTTCTTCCTTTGCTGCTGTTATCCTCTTTACTGCCCAGATGTGGGAGATACAGATGTTAGGATCAGTGTACAAATATTGGTCTTTCTATTGAACTTCCTCTCAACATTTTATGTATTGGGGGGAAGGTCTAAACTGGAAAATCTCAACAAGGTGTCATGTACTCCTAGTTTTAGCAGCTATCCCTGGTTTAATTTCTATTAAGGTCAAGTTTGAACTTATATTTTATACATCTAGGAGTTAAAATGAAGGAAAATCAGCCACACTTGGGCTTAAATTAAGGGTTTAAAAAAAGCAGGTAGGCTTTTTGCAATGTGCAGTTGCAACTTAGATGATTTTTGAAGTTCTTTATAACTTGCTTTTTAATCCACAGAACGCCCATAGCCTGGAATTCCAGCTGTGGGTACTGCTTTCAGAGTTGGGAACCTTCACTATACAATTGGACCAGACCCTTTGGAATATTCTGTGTCTCAAATACCCTATGGAGCACACACTTAAGCAGTTGATGGCTATAGACTTTCCCATCAGCTAAAGAGAAGGGTGAGTGTGGGGTCTGTCCGTATTTGTATCAAAGCAAGAAACTGATGGTCTCTTTTTGGGTGGGAATCAGGGGAGACAGTCATTTACCAAATCGTTCCTGGGGTGTTCTTGAAGACAAAACTTCATCTCTGTTCCATCTTCTTTCCTGGTAAAATAATTCATGCAAGCCCACGTAGTATCAGGGCTAATGAAGAGATTAGTTATCTTAAAGTGTTGCGACACAGGGGTAAAAATCAGTGTGGATTTCTCATCTTGCAAATAAACTTCCTCCAGGACAGCTGGGCTATTAGCAGCCACTGGCCCTCTACCATGCCCTCAATTTTAAAAGAGGAACATTCAGTGGAAATTCATCTATAAAATATCACCAAATTCCCTAGCAAGGCTTGCAAAACTCTGTATTCAGCACCTTTCCATTTTTTCCCCATTATATCCCACTAAGTGACCTATATTCAAGCCACACTGGACTATTTGTTTACTATTTCATGTACTTTTCCTACTTTTGTGCATTTCCTCATGCTATTCACTGATGCTGCAATGCCCTTATAACCCTTTTCTGCCTATGGGAAAACTAATTCATTATTTCAAGCTTAGCTAAAATGCCAAGTCCTTTTTGAAGTCTTCCCTAACACTCTTATCTTCCCTGCCCCTGTGTTGGAATTAGTAGCTCCTTCTGCATTTCCAGAGTTTTTTTATTTGCGCCTCTATTTTAGCATTTGTGTCTTTATACCATGCCTTGGAGTCTTTTTTTAAGTTAGAACTTGTGTTTAGGGACAGTTAGCATAGAGGGGAAAGGTTGAGTTTGAGAGTGTCTGACTCCAAAGACTGAATTTTATTGTATACAGTAATAATAACAATAATTACTAACATTTATACATTTATTGAAGTGCTTACAATATGCCAGATACTGTTCTATGTGCTTTACTTGTATTAACTCATTTAATTCCTAAAACATTCCTATGGAGTAGGTACTGTTACCCACATTTTAGATGTGAGAAAGCTGAGATACTGACTGGTTAAATAACTTGACCAAGCTCATTGAGTTGGTCAGTAGTAGAGCTGAGATTCAAACCTTTGTATTCTGAATCTGGCACTAGCATATGTGACCACTTTTTAACTCTGTACGCCAACACAGCTCCTAGTAAAGTATATTGCCCATCCCAAACTTAAATTTGTGTGTTGTTAGATACACCCGTCCCTTACCTTTTCTGCTTTTTCCCTTTGTGTAGGCCACCTTCTATCTTACCTTCATTTCCTACCTAACTCAGCATTCATGGTTCATCACTTTCAACATGTTTTTAAATTTGCCTTTTTTATTGTGATAAAATATATAACATGAAAACCGTCATTTTAGTTATTTCTAAGTGTACAATTAATTGACACCATGACTACAATCTATCTCCAAAACTTTTTCGTCATCTTAAAGAGAAACTGTGCTACCATTAAGCAATAACTCCCCATTTTCCCCTCCCTGAAGCTCCTGGTAATCACCAGTCTACTTTTAAGTAGAACCATACAGTATTTGTCCTTTTGTGTCTGGTTTATATCACTTAGCATAACATTTTCAAAGTTTATCCGTGTTGTAGCATGTATCATAACTTTATTCCTTTTTAAAATTTTTATTTATTGAAAGAGAGAGAGAGAAGAGAAGAGAGAAACATTGATTTGTCCCAGTTATTTATGCATTCATTGGTTGCTTCTTGTATGTGCCCTGACCAGATATCAAACCCGCAATCTTTCATATTGGAACTGCGCTCTAACCAACTGAGCTACCTGGCCAGGGAGAACTTTATTCCTTTTTATGGCTGAGTAATATACCTGTGTGTGTTCACCACATTTTGTTTACTCACTCATCTGTTGATGGGCACTTGAGTTGTTTCCACTTTTTGGCTTTTATGAATTACACTGCAGTGAATGTTGGTGTACAAGTATCTGTTTGAGTCCCTGTTTTCAATTCTTTTGAATATACCTAGAAGTAGAATTGCTGGGCTATATGGTAATTCCATGTTTAGCTTTTGGAAGAATTGCCAAACTTTTTCACAGCAGCTGCACCATTTTACATTGCCATTAGCAACAAACAAGGGTTTGTTGAATAGTCTGTTCTTTCCCCACTGAATGGACTTGGGCACCTTTGTCAAAATCAATTGGTTCTAGACATGTTGGTTTATTTCTGGACTCTCAATTTCGTTCCATTCATTTCTGTGTCTATCTTTATGCCAGTACCAAAGGGTTTTGATTACTACAGCTTTGTAGTAAGTTTAGAAATCAGAAAGTGTAAGTGCGCCAACTGTTTCTTTTTCAAGATTGTTTTTTGTTAATCTGAGTCTCTTTCCATTCTATATGAATTTTAGGATCAGCTTTTCTATTTATACAAAATAGCCGTTTGTATTTTGACAGAGATTGCACTTAAACTATAGATTGCTTTGGGGGTATTGACATCTCATTAACATTAAGTCTTCCAATCTATGAACACAGGATACTTTTCAATTTATGTAAATCTTTAATTTATTTAGCAATATTTTGTCTGTCAATGGACATTTTGGTTGTCTTCACCTTCTGGCTATTGTGAATAATTCTTCTAAGAACAATGGTTGTACAAATATCTGTTCAAGTCCCTGCTTTCAGTATTTTGGATAAATAACTAGAAGTAGAATTGTTAGAAATAGAATTACCATATGTTTAATATTTTTGAGGAATTTCCATACTATTTTCCAAAGCAGCTGCAGCATTTTACATTATGCACATGGGTTTCAATTTATCCACATCCTTGCCAACATTTGTTATTTTCTGTGTTTTAATAACACCATCTCAGTATGCATTAAGTGATATCTTGTGGTTTTGCTTTGTATTTCCCTAGTATCTAGTGATGTTGAATATATTTTCGTGTGCTTATTGGCCATTTGTATGTCTTCTTTGGGAAAAAAAAGTCTACTTATGGCCTTTGCCCTTAAAAATAAACCTTTTAAAATAGGTTTGTTTGTTCTTTTGTTGTTGAGTTTTAGGAGTTCTTTAAGTATTATTAATATTAACCCCTTTCATATATATGATTTGCAAGTATTTTTTCTCATTCTGTGGGATTGCCTTTTCACTTTCTTGAAAGGGTCTTTTGATGCACTAAAGTTTTTAATTTTGAAGTCCAATTTATCTATTTTTCTTATGTTTTTGCTTTATATCTAAGAAATCATTTAGAAATCAGGAAGTGTAAGTGCACCAACTGTTTCTTTTTCAAGAAACAATGCCATGAAGTTCTTCCCTATGTTCTCTTCTAAGAGTTTCAAAGTTTTAGCTCTTAAGTTTGTCTTGGATTCATTTTGAGTTAATTTTTGTCTATGGTGTAAGGTAAAGGTCCAAATTCATTCTTTTGCATGTGGATATCCAGTTTTTCCAACAACATTTCTTGAAAAAAAAAAGTTTATTTCCCATTGAATGGTCTTGGTACCTTTGTCAAATATCATTTGGTCATATATGCAAGGGGTTATTTCTGGGCTATCTATTCTGTTTCACTGGTTTATTGTCTTTTTTTTATGAGCACAGTGAAACCTTGATATAACCTCTGGCTAGAGGGTGTCTGTTAAAGGTGAAAGTTCATTACATAATAAAGTAGGTTTTCTGAATGTGTATGTTAAAAATTTGACAAATTAGTTGGTTTACCCATTTTTTACTTATGTAGACACATTTCTGTAATTACAATTAAGTATGTGTGGAAAGTTTAATTTTACAGAAATTTTATATATATATATATATATTTTTAATTTATTTCAAAGAAAGGAAGGAGAGGGAAAGAGAGAAACATCAATGGTGAGATAGTCATTGATCGGCTGCCTCCTGCACACCCCCCTTGCTGGGGATTGAGCCTGCAGCCCCAGCATGTGCCCTGGCCAGGAATTGAACCAGGTTCTCCTGGATCGTAAGCCAGTGCTCAATGACTAAGCCGTGCCAGCCGGGCCACAGAAAAGTTTTGTATATGTATTACTCTAAATTTATACTGAATAAGCCTAGTAATGTGTGCATTCACCAGTCACCAAGAATAAACAAATGAACACGGCTGGGTCGTGGCTTCACCCAGGTGGCACATCAGCCGGCATGCTTAAAACTGCTGCCGGAAGTCATGCCAGGCGACAAGAGGACCAATTACTTCGAGCAGTGAGATGTGACCACATGCTAATCATTCACCGAACATTGCTTACCAGCGGTGACTCTTGGATTTAAATATGTAGACTATAGTTGTAGATATGTAATATTTATTTATGTCTGCAAAATTACTACAGTGTTTTTGCCAACATATTGCCTATTAGCTAAAATCTGTTAAAAATAACTGAATTAAAAACAAAAAGTAAACTGTTAATTTAATTATAAGCAATTCTTGGTTAAAAGCATTTTAAAGTGAACAGGGTGTTAATTTTCACATATAATGTAAGGACTGGAAATTTTGTTCATTAACTCGGAAGTCCGTTAAGTCGAGGTCCACAAAATCGAGGGTTTACTGTACCATACTGTTTAGATTACCATAGTTATTGTAACAAGTTTTGTGTGATATTGTGATTTGTAAGAAATATACATATATTTGGTCATTCAGATGACCAAAATATACTTCTGATATATAGTTTGTCTTTGTCCACAATTCCTGGCTGAAAGCTCCTAAAACTCTTGAAATTTCCTGAGTGATAAGAGTAATAGAAGCTTATTTTGTCATTATATTTAGTCTCTTGTCTTCAGTTCCTGAAATTTACTTCGAAGCCATTAAAGTGAAATGGGTGTCTTGTTATTTATAACAAGCCCCTTTCCACCATAACTGGGTTTACATTAATGAGGCGACTTTTGGAAAGCACCTAAAGATGATTGTGGGTTGGCTGGGGAACCAACCAAATGATTACAGGATTGGAACTTTCAGTCCAGCCACCACCACCTCCTGGGAAGGGGAGGAGCTGGAGGTTAAATCAGATACCAATGGCCAGTGATTTAATAAATCATGCCTATGTAATAAAGCCTCCATAAAAACCTGA